CAGCAAAGCAGGTGTTAGCTTCACTTACAATTGCTCAGACCTCTCAATCCATCCAGAGCTTCACTGGCCCAACGTGGGCTTCAGTCCTCTTCCCTGTCCACCCTAACTCGTGGTCAGTCACTTCAATTCCAGTCTCACTGACCTCCGTCATTCCTTTAGCATCCCTGACCTGGAATCCAGAACAAAATCATCCCCAGTGCCTTTCATATTTTCAGCTATTAAATGAGGGCTATTCCTAACATGTAGAATTGTTATGAGGAACAAATAAATTAAGATGTAAACGCATACTCTATGAACTCTAAATCACTACGAGCATCAACTGTTATGACTATGACTGCTACTGAGTTAAGAACTAGTTGCCCCTTGGGTTACTTCATACTGCACTCCCTTAGTAACACTCCCTGATGGATGTGTTCTAGTCCCAGCGTGGCCACTTGCTGAGGGTCATCTTGGGCAATAACGGCCACATTCCAAAGCAAGCTTGTCACTTTTAAACACTCAGGGTTGGGCTACACTGTTTCTAAGATCCCGTGCAGCTCTTTGGCTCTGAGACCTCACTTTATTGAGAAAATGGAAAGCACCAAATACTTTGATCTTTTGCTTTTCAAAATGTCTCTGCATCCACCTTCCATGCGTTCCTTCCTTTCCTTGGATACCCCAGTCACCTATACTCTCCACATCTTGTCTGCTTTCTTTTCTCTGGGGCTTGCCCATCCTTGTCAGCATCTCAGCATCTTCACCCCCTCTTGACTTCTTTCATACAAATACCTATCTTCCCTCCCATGAAAAAGGAAATTTTCACTTGATCCTCCAGTCCTTTTTTTAATTTTTTAAATTAATTTGTTTATATTTTTAAAAAATATATTTTATTTATTTATTTATTTACTTACTTATTTATTTATTTTTACAGAGAGGAAGGGAGAGGGATAGAGAGTTAGAAACGTCAATCAGCTGCCTCCTGCACATCCCCTACTGGGGATGTGCCTGCAACCAAGGTACATGCCCTTGACCAGAATCGAACTTGGGACCCCTAGTCTGCAGGCCGACGCTCTATCCACTGAACCAAACCAGTCAGGGCCTCCAGTCCTTTTTAGCCACTATTCTGCATTCCCCTTTGCTGGAACTTCCTGACAATAACTCCCAGTATTTCACCTCTCACATGCCTCAACTTGGAACCTGGCTTCTACTAGGATCTTTGCTGAACTCAGTGTTCTATGCCTCACCCTCGTTCCTAAATACTATTGATGACATCCTCTAGCAATCCTCCTCCCCTGCTCCCAGGATCTCATAATCTTGGTTCCTTCCCTACATTTTCAACCCTGCTCTAAACATGGGCACCTCCGAGGGCTCTGTCTTCAACTATTCCACTCAAAAGTTGACATTTCTAGAGCGTTGACCCCATAAGCCAAGGTTGTGGGTTTGAACCCCTGTCATGGCACATACAGGAATAAATGAATGCCTAGATAAGTAGGATAACAGATTGATATCTCTCTCTCTCTCTCTCTCTCTCTCTCTCTCTCTCTCTCTCTCTCTCTCTCTCTCTCAATTCCCCTCTCCTTAAAAAATCTATTTAAAAAAAGAAAGTTGACATCTCTACACTTGACCTTTCGACCTTTCATTTCAGTTTCCACCAACACCTTAAACCACCTCTCAATTTTAATATATATATTTTTATTGATTTTTGTACAGAGAGGAAGGGAGAGAGATAGAGAATTAGAAACATCGATGAGAGTCATCAATCAGCTGCCTCTTGCACACCCCCTACTGGGGATATGCCCTCAATCAAGGTACATGCCCTTGACCGGAATCGAACCTGGGACCCTTCAGTACCCAAGCTGACGCTCTATCCATTGAGCCAAACCGGTTTTGGCCCACCTTTCAATTTTAGAGAATGACACACCCTGTCCAATCCAACTCACCCTTGCCTACAAAACCGCCCAATAATTTTTGCTTCTTTCCTAAAAGACTCTTAAGGCGTGGATTACAACGTGTCTCCTGGCACGCTCTTCTTTTATTGGTCTTTCTTTGATTGTCCTAGACTAGGTCCTATCTGCATGATCATTCTAAAATATGCATCCTCTCTCTCAACCTCTGTTCCCGCACCCCTAGCAGGCCCACTCCAAGCCCTCATAACTTCATACCTATAGCACTTGAAATACCCAACTATCTGGTTTCTTTGTGGCAGGCCTCTCCCCTTCCAGCACTTTCTCCAGGCGGCTGCTGAGCGATAAGCTAATGCCTTTGTAAACACTTCTCAGTGGCTTTCCAGAGCCCATGGACTAAAGCCTGACCTCCACAAGACTCAAGCTCCCAACCTCCAAACCCCACCTCCCAAGAATACACAGCATATGCTCCAGGATTACCAAACTAATGTCAGGGCCCTGGGCCAAGAATACTGACCCAAGAAACAGCTCCACATCCCCGTCGCCTACAACGTCCTTCCTCAACATGTGTCCACCTGGTGAGTCCCCAGGCACCTTTCAAGTCCAAGCTCAACCCTCACCTCCTCTTCAAAAGCTTTTCCTGCTGTCTCCATGTAGAGCCTATGAACCTTGATCATTGTTCTAGTAAATCTAACTCATATAGGTCTCCTGGGGGAAGAGGCACAGGAGAGGGTGGGGAGGGGGGTGGGAGTCCTTGAAGGGGTAATCTTGTCACCTCTCAAATATTTATTCAGCATTTAATATAGATAACATTCCCTTGCAGGTCAGAAGCACTTTTTCATCTGTGAATTCCCCTAAGCACAGAGCCTCTCTCAGCTTAAGTCTCCTGGTCCTGAGCAATGACGATGCCATGTTAATAACACCATTATAAAAGGACAAAATGGCATGGGAGTGTACTATAACGGCAGAATCTAAGACACCTCCTCCACTGCTTTCGTGAATTCCCCAAGTGTTTTGCCTCTACCGCAACTTGAGCAGAGAAGGCACTTAAAGAGCTTAAAAGGTCCAAATATTAACCAGCCTCTGATGTGCAATCTGATTTTAAAATAGCCCTTGACCTGGAAATACAGGTGCATTCAAATATACTCCCTGATAAGGAAGCACAGAGGATAGAGTTCAATGTCTCAAAGGCTGCCAAGACAAGAGTTCCTTGTGAGGAACGCTGAAGGTATAGCAATATTCTAGACATACTGTGCCAGTGCTCATCCTTGTCTAAGAAGTCTTAGGAGGTTACACATGGCAATGTCCGCACTCAGAACACAAAATACAGCTGGGTCCGTGTTAATGAAAACCTACATTGCGGCCTTTATAAATAAATAACTAATAAATAAACTAAATACCCAGCAAGTTAACCTAGTCACAGAGACATCGGCTCTAATGAGTCAAATCAAACCCTAGAAATAGTGGCCATTTCAAATGTATTAGGGTGTTAAGAAACCAAATTAATTCAGAAGTTATTTTATGCATGGCTTCCTGGACTTGTTTTCTCTCATTAAAAGTGCGTTAGTGCATCTCCTAGTTAAGGAAGTCCACACAGGGGGAGCTGGTATTTCCTTGGTTCTAGCAAGAGCTGAAGCACAACAAATCCCAATCTAATTAATTCTATTTTTGGTCTAGTTTCCAAGGCAGTTTTCACAAAGACTATTCTCACGGCCCACTGTTTCCAGCTTTGTAACATCAACCTTCAGAAGCTGGCAACTGGTATAGTTTGTGTAATTCCTTGACGTGTATGTTCTATGACAGACCCTCATTTGATTCTATGGACTATCAAAGGTAGGGGGGGGGGAAACAAAGGCGATGCCATCTCACTGATTCTAAAGCGTCATTCCTGAAATCACGGTTGAATTAATTATTCCATGATATCATGCGGTATATTCTTTCCAGGGCCCTGTAACTTGGGTCAAGTTCATCAACATCAGGTGGAACCCTCCCCAGATCAGAACTGCCAGGGAGTCTCAGTGACAGTACAACCCAGAGGAAAGGGAATCAGGAAACAGGTTCTAGTAGTTCCAAAAGGCCACCAAGGCCTTGACCTTGGCGAATACACTTCGCTTCTGTAATTCAAACAGCAACACCTGCTTCCAAAAAAGAATGATTCTAGGAAAAGCTCAAGTGCTTTGAGCTTCTGAAGTAAAATGAGATTTTATTAACAGCAGGTCTTATTAAACAATTTATTCTCTGGATGACCTAAACCACCAATCTAAAGGAACATAACACTGCATTTGTTTGTTTGTCTCCCCCCCACACACCCCCGCCACACACACACCCATATTCCTGCACCACTGTATTTATGAGTAAACTAAACTTTGACTCTTTTTCTACTGTTAAAAAAATCGTGGTATTGTATCTACTTATTCTTAAATGTGAAGCAAGGGTAATCTATAGAAATGGGAGCTACAAATCATCAAGAAGTAGCCCGTCAGGTCCAATGAAATCTACTAGTAGGAGAACTACACTGCCTGCTGTGGACCCCAAGAACACACAGCACTTGTATGTTCCGTGTATGTTACCCTGAAACCTTGCAAATCTATCACCCTGAGAAAAGACGGAGGAACCGAAAGTGCTGATGGGGGCGCAGGAGAAGCCAAGCCTTCAGCGTCCGGATCCAATGACAGGCTAGAGCCCAAGGTGTTTGTCTGAAGTTTAGTCCTCACCAACTTTGTTCCTCTCCCGAGAGGAGGTGTGAGGTGGTGGCGGCACCTAGCAAACTAGGGCGCCTGCAGTTTCCTCCTAGACTCCAGCCTGGACCCCGGCCCCCTGGGGGACGTGGGGGGGGGGGGCGGGGGAATTGGAATGGGAAGACATTAAACTGTAGTCGAGTTGAAATGACCCAGCAGCAGCCACGGTCATCCTGGGAGACGCACTCCCTCTGGGGTCCGGGGTTCTGGACCTCACACTGGCAAGCAGACACTGATCCAGGCCGAGGGAGGGCGCGGCGGGCAGCCGGCAGCTCACCTGCGCTCCCCGGGCCCCACCCGCCCGGCCCCCAGGGGCCCTCCCGAGCCGGGACGCGGGCGGCGGCGGGCGTGGGGGCGCGGCTCCCGCGGCTCCACTTACTTTGTCGCTGGTGCTCTCGGCTTCGTGGTCGCCGCCGGCCGCCACTCCCTCGGGGGGCGGCGGCGCCCCCGCTCCCCCGGGGCCGGGGCCCACTCCCCGGTGCCGCAGCTCCAACATCGCCCGCTCCCGCGCGGCCGCGGCGGCCTCCTGCGCCACAAAACCCGGACTGCGCGCAGGGTCCGGCCGGCCGGCCTCCCTCCCTTCACCCCGCGGCCCCTAACACGCCCCCGCCGTGGAGGCGCGCCCCCCGCGCCAGGTCACCCCCAAAACGGCATCAACGAGCGAGCGCTCGAGGCCGCCTGCAGGCGCGGGGCGTGCGGGGCGGGCAGGCTCGGGGCGCCCGGCCCGCGCGGGGAAGGCGGAGCGCGGCCGCGGGCTGCCAGGTGCGCGTCTCCCCGCAGAGGCCCAGGTGGGCAGGAGGGAAGGAGGGGCGGGAGGGAGAAGGAAGGAAGCGTGACCCCGATTGAGAGCTCCGCAGGGCGCCCGCAGCCTGGGCCCGGCCACTCCCCGCCCCGCCCCGCTCCCGGACTCGGCCTGTCCCAGCCCCCCCGACACCTTTCCCGGGGCTCCCGCCTCCTCCCGCACCGGGTCACGCGCCGCAGGCCACGCCCCCCTCCCCGCCCCCCCGCGCTGCACTGCGGTTCCCACGGCCCCGCCCACCCGCCGGGGTGACGTCATAGCCTCCCCAGACTCCGCCCGGGCCCTGCGCGCCCACAGGTGGGGGCGGTGAGACGAGGTGCGAGCTGGGCGGGCCGGAGGAGAGGAGGAGAGGGATGGAGGAGGGAGGAGCCCTGTGCTGCGGAGTGAGGGGCGAGCACTGGGCCACTTGTCACCACCGACCTCCTGGGGAGCGTGGCAGACGCCTGGCAGCTGCTATTGGCAGCGCTCAGAAGTAGCCCTTCCAAGGACTCCCCCACCTGCCGCATCGGCTCGTCACCCTGCAGCGTGTCAGAGGTCCAGAGGCGTCGAGAGAAACAGGAACTTGTCTGGCAGGATGGACTCGTTGGCGTGGAGGCATTCTAGGCCAGGGTCATCACCTGGAAAATAAAGAGCTGTGTTTGCCTCCCTGGGTGTCTCCGGATGGTTGGCAGGTTTCAAGCATAAAGCCCAAGCTCTGTCTCTGATAAACTTGAGTACTGAAATTCTCACAAAATTCACTGCCTAGGGTCCCAAAAGAGAATCCATCCTCTGTGATACAACCAGTTGCCAATCAGCTAATCTCTGAACAGTCATGGACCTTGGGCTGCTAAAGCTAGGGCAGAAGGGCCCAACGATCCATCCGCCTTAATTCTATTCCAAATCCTGTTAGAAGGTGATTAGTTTTCTCGATGTGTGCCCACCACCTGGTCATTAGAGAGAGGCTGGCGAATGGTGAGAAGAAGAAAGAAGAGAAGTAAATCAATAATATAAATGTCTCCAAGTCATTACTGACACATTGAAAATAGGTACTTCTTTTCGAAAGTTTATAACAAGCAAAAACAAAAAGTCAAAGTGGATACATTAAAAAGCAAAGCACATGGGCGTCATTTTATGTCCCCAAACAAACCTTAAAGCTCTAGGTTCAGATTGAGTTGCCACATTTTCAAAAGGATATAGAGAAAGGGGTCAGTCTAATGGGAAGAGTAACAAAAATGCTAATGAAAATAGGTCCTTTAAGAGATGGACTTGGCGTGGGTTTTCCTTAAGGAGCAGAAGACTGTGGAATTAGTAGATTAATCAGTTGTTCTCCATTTTTTTCTGAGCGACCAGAAATTAATGACTGCCTCATTGTCAAGAGCATAAATTTGAAGAGGCTACTGAAGGAGGTAGTGAAATTTCCATCTCTGGCTCCCTCACCGCAACCAGCAAAAAGGGCGGGTATTAGAAGGGTTCCGCTGCTCCATTCTAAGCTTCGTGGAAGTTAAGCCTGAATCCTAGTCCCACCAAAGCCACTGATTGGCTGTATGGCCTTAGGTAAGTCATGAAGCCTCAATGTCCCCAGCTATGAAGTGGAAAGTGCTGAGGACGGCCTCTCTGGACCGTTTACAGCTCACACATGACAGCAGCAAAAGCCTCACTTTATCAGAAACCAGCCCTTCCTTCCCCCAATGCCTCAAGAAAAGGAGACCTAGCATAGCAAGGTGCCAGTATGGCTTCCTTGTCTCCTTCCCCAACCCAACCCAATAGCTCATCTGACTTGTTTTTTGTTTACTATCATGGAATAAAAGAGAGTGGAAGAAGGAGCAGAAGGAAACGAGGGAGAACCTATGTGCAGGACAGAAGAAACAGTCTGACTAGTCCCTAACTCTGGAAAAAAGTGGGACCAGAGCAGAGACTGCCAATTTAGAGTGCTTTACTACTTAATCTCACCTTACCTTAGGCTCTGCCTACTTCCTATATTTCAGCTGAGGTAGTAATTTCTTTCTGTCTTCTCCATTATAGTCATTGTCATTCGTCAAATGATTATGCTGAGTCTAGACAGCAGGTACCACAGTTTATTCATCTTCACAGGCCAAGCCCTTGCAGTGGTGCCAGCCCCAACCTTGTATAGTCAACTCATGAAGAAGTGAATGGGGGGAAAAGGAAAAATGGCAGAGGTATGGCATACCCAGGGAGAGATATGGTTTTGATTTTAAAATTAAAAGGTCTGTATTAGACTTAGGTACTCATTGTCTTCGTTTTTTACTTTATGTGAAAGATTGATTTTAATATGTATTGAAAGGAAGTTCTAGAAATGACTTGCACATTTTCTTTAAGATGCATTATGAGGAGTATAGAAAGGGAGTGGACTGATGATTCTCAAGGAAAAGGGGAGTGGGGGTGAGAGAAGAGACTGAACAAAAATCGTACACCTATGGATGAAGACAGTGGGAGGGAGAAAGGGCAGAGGGTGGGGTAGGAACCTGGTGGAGGGGAGCTATGGAGGGGAAAAAGAGGAACAATTGTAATAATCTGAACAATAAAGATTTATTTAAAAATAATAAAAAATAAAATTAAAATTAAAAATTAAAAAAAGATGCATTATGGTATAGTCAACAACACCAGCCTTACTGGGCTCTGTGCTCAGACTTTCTCAATGTCTTTTTCATTTTCATCTTTCTTTTCTTTTTTCAGGAAACTTACATTCTTGAAGTTTATTACATTTATCTTTAGTGATACCAAATCTGGCACGTAATGGTTTCTAAGACCTCACCTGTTAGTTTTACCAGCATGCAATCTGCTAACTCCAGGCTCATGCAAGGGACTAGTCACTAAGGAGACGCCTGGCCAATACTTATTGGCTGACTTATAGATTTTCTATTTTAGTGATAGTGCAATAATTTATAAATCCTTGCAAGAGATTTTCTAGAGGGGAAAGAAGGAGAGTGCTAACATTATTATTTTTGTGTTTTTTTCTTTTAGTTTGATTTTTTTTTTTAACCTTGACTTTTGCCCAAAGATGGGGAGATCTTGCTTGAAGTATGAAATGGAGAGACCCGTTATCATTCTCTTCTCTGAACATCCTCACAATGTTCCCAAACTGATAAACATCCCCGTCTCGTGTGGGAATTTGAGCTGCTTTCCACATCTGAGTCTCAAAGGCGCCTGACAGGACTGCCTCCAAGCTTGCCAGGGTAAAAAGACGTCTTCCTCCGCCAAGCGTTTCCGGTTGCGTGGACACCCACGTTGCAGATGTTTGTCGCTTGACCTATCTTTAGTTGTTGCTCTCAAGTTCGAGCTTTCGGTCAGAGGTAAGAATTTCTGAGTGAGGCCTACCAGAAACACATGTTGTGGGGAAATTTTGAAGAGCAATTTATGTTCACATTATCTTTAATGAATCTGCAAGAAAACAGTAGTGTAGCATCAAGTATTATAGTAGCAAATCTCAGAGGAGTGGTGCGGTAGTGTAGTTAGAAGCACAGGTTTCAGTCCAAGCTCTGCCATCTTCTAGCTGTGACCCAGTTTCCTTACAGAACATTTCATCGCACACAGCTGAAGCTACATCCTAACGTATGCCGGTTCAAAGTTTATGTGATAACGCTTTACATAACGCTTTGCAAAGCACTTTCACACCCATTGCTTTATTTATTCTACTCAGCAGCCTACGAGGTAGGCAGGAAGACTATCATTTTTTCCATATTGCAAAGGAAAAAAATCTAAGCTTCAGTATGTAAACTGCCCAGGTTTGCAGAGGAAATTTTTCTATTTCAGATTCTGACAGGCCTACTATGCACTGCCTGTAGTTAGTAGCAAAAGCAAGTAACTTCCAATAGGGTACAACTTGTGATAACAGCTAAGCACTGGAATTCTGGAGCCAACCTGAGTGCAAGTCCCAGCTCTGCCACCTACTGGCCGGCGCCATCAGTCAAGTAAATGAACTGTTCTGTGCCTTAATGTCCTGTGTATAAAATGAGAAATTCTTACGCAGAGTAAGGTTAATATACAAAAATGCTTAGAACAGTGCCTGATCGTAGTGACACACCATGCTAGTGTTACAATTAATACCATTTACATTATTGAAAGCTGCATTTCTTTTTTTTAAATCAATCTTTATTGTTCATATGAAAGCTGCTTTTCTTAAGAGAACAATATTCAGCTTCTACACTCACTGAAGCTGCAATACCCCACAAGACTTAAGAAAAAAGGATATACTGACATTGCTTTGAAATTATGAAATGGGGTAGGGCTACTTTGCAAATAAGTACAAAGAAATCATCATCCAATAAAATTAATTAATTGTTGCTAGCAATAGTAAGATGAATGAAACTGACATACCCTATTATTAACTGGAGTCCATTTCTTTCTTTAAAAAAAAATTTTTTTTTTTACTAGAGCCAATTTCTACCGTGTATCTTATATATGGTATGACAACCACAGACTTCCTTTCATTTCTAGCTTCTCCACTGAATCATAGTAACTATTAGCATAATATATTTTGATGATTTAATTCCTTTGTAAAATAAGCAGGTTATTCCTTCAATAACTTTATAAATTGTGTTTTAAAGTAATCCAGCCATATCCAACATTATCCATATCCAGCCATATCCAAAAATATAAATCCAGCCATATCCAACAAAACAGTTGAACCATTCAGTGTCAAAAGCACTGAATGGTTCAACTGTTTTGTTAATGTTGGATATGGCTGGATTTATATTTTTTTGGAGGTGGTCATTTTAGAGAAGTGGAAGGGATTGGTAACTGTCCTCAGAAGGGCTGAACTGCTATTTACCTTAAATTATATAAATTATCTCTGTTCAACAAATTGCTGGAATCCAGAGGTATCGGTCAAGGTTCTTAGATGCAAGTCTGGCTGACTTAGGCAGATAAGGTATTTATTCAAGAGTTGCTAAGAAGCTCACAGAACTCTTGGGAAAGCGTAGAACCCAGCAGAGAAAACTGATAGAAACGACGGATGCCACACAGCAGCCAGGACTACAGTCAAAGTGAACCCCAAACCAGCCACCTGAGGCCACCAATGCTGGACCCCACAGCTCACACCGTCACTGTGGGGACACCAGCCAC